TTCCCTTTTTTCTCTACCTTTCAATTTTTTCCATCTATGTCAGTTATTGTCGGATCTGGTCAGTTGCATTAAGATGTGTAATGACTAGATGTTAAAGTTTATTGTTAAAGGAAATAATAAAAATTGAATAATAAAAAAAAAACTACCTCCCGGCCGTTGTAAAAAAACGGCCGATCGGGAGCTCCCTAGATCTGAGCGGGCGTCAGACATACGCGAGCGGGAAATGCCCGATATTTAAAAACAGGCAGCAGTGCCTCTTAACATGCAAGTGATCCGCCGGCTATAGAGCCAGCGGATCGCTATTATGGGGTAACGATCGGTCCCCCCGCCATTGTCCCGCTGGTCCCGGGCTCCGCAGTGGACCAGCATAGTGCCTATGCTGGTCCACAGCGGGGTCCCGGGACCAGCACAGTGCCTCTGTCACAGGGGATGAGCTCCCTCTGGTCCCCTCTCCGCTGCAAGAATGCGGAAGTGTTGTATACTACATCAGTTCCGCATTCTTGTGTCACTCTCCAGCTTCAGAAGCTGGAAAGAAGCTGATGGAGCAGATCTCGGCTTCATCACCTTCTTTTGGGGGGTCCTAGGTGACATTAGGGGTCTTGGAGGCCCCTGATGTCTCCATAAAGAGGACCCGTCACATATTTTGCTATCACATAGTGAGGTTTTATTAGACCCCGTATGTGAAAGCAATAAAGTTTAGTGAAAAAATTAAAAAACAGGAAAAAAAATTAAAGTTTCCCCCCCAAAAAAACATACACGCATGCAAACATGCGTCGGGGGTGCATACGTGAAAAAAGGACAATTGTGCCCATTACGCCACACATGTTACATATCGCCGCGAACGTCACAGTGAGAGCAATCATTCTAGGGCCATCAATCACCGATAACACTAAACTGATGAGCGGTAAATGCTTTTAAAGCGTCACCTATGGCCAATTTTGGGTATGGTAGTTTTCTGCAATTTCGCAGGTGCGCGCAATTTTAAAGCTTAACATGTTTGGTGTTTATTTACCCGAAGTGACCCCGTCTTTTATATTTTACAAACAAATTGGGTAATAATAAATGTTTCCTAACATAATGTTTAAAAAAACGTTTTTTTTTCAAAATTTTCAGTAATTTTTCCTAATTATAGTAAAAAATAAAAACTGCAGTGGTGATTAAATACCACCAAAAGAAAGCTCTATGTGTCCCCAAAAAATGGTATAAAATTAATTTCAGTACAGCGTTGTATGACGGAATAAATGTCAGTCAAAGTACTGCAGCGCTGAATACTGAAAAATGGCCTGGCCAGGAAGGGGGTGTAAACACCTGGTCTTCAAGCGGTTAAATACTAATTAAATTATTATTTATAAATGGTGATCACGTCTATTTATGTTTCTAGCAGAGGATGTTAAATAAAAATTCCCAGCGCTTACCTGAAGTACCAAAAAAGGGTTTCTATACCGTATATACTCGAGTATAAGCCGAGATTTTCAGCCCATTTTTTTGGCTGAAAAGTGCCCCCCCTCGGCTTATACTCGAGTCAGCGCCAGCGCGTCTTCTTACTTACCTCGCCGAGCGTCGCGTCACTGCTGCTCCGGTGTGCGGCTCTCCGAGCGGGGTCATCTGGCAGTCTCCGGGTCCTAATTAACAGAGCTAGGTTATTTTTCTTTTAAATAAATATTAATGTAATTTTATTGGTATCTATCTACCATTAGCTGCCTTATTTCCCACCCTCGGCTTATATTCGGGACGGCTTATACTCGAGTATATACGGTATGTATATGCCGCCAGTGCCCCTTTAAAATAGGTCAATATTTAAAGGATTATAACTACTTAGGGCCCCTTATGTGCACATGTTGGCACAGATTTTTTTGATGCATTGGCATTCATTTTCAACAGGCCTTTAGCACACTTCAATGGGGCAAAAAACATAACTGCCTCTTTTTTCTAGTGCACAACTCTGGGGGCCAGGTCCATTTGTTTTGCCATATTTGAGCAATGGAGTGCCATTAAAAATAAATGCAAACACATGCAGGGCCAGTGCTAGGGAAAGGGTAGGGGGGTGCAAAGGCCCTGGTAGTAAGGTACTATTGAGCGGACGTGGCATTAAATAACAGTCTACAGGGGAAAAGGTATCTACACGGGGCAGATCAATGACACTTTGTCTCTCACTTGTAGGGGAAACTTCTCCGTAGTTACAGGCAGTGCAGTCAGCTGTGAGCAGGGCCGGCCTTAGGGGTGTGCGAGCGGTGTGGCCGCACAGGGCGCCATGACAACAAAGGCGCCAGGCGGCCGACACAGCTCGTCCTCGGGGCGGCTTCTTTCCTCCTCACCGCTGGCCATCCAACATGACAGCGCTCCCTCCTAAAAGAACGAAAACTAAAAACATTTTCATTTGTTTCATCAAACAAAAATAATTGTTCTGCTATTTTGGATTCAGCCATTGGCGTGTTTTGGAGGCAGGGTTTATGCCACCATATAACACCGCACGTGTTGGGCGCCGCCATCTTGGTGTATATCTAGATATATACACCAAGATGGCGGCGCCTATATCGGCGTTTGACGTCACCTGACACCACGCATGCATGGTGTCATGTAACGTCATGCTCCCCACCTCCAAGATGGTGGCACGCATTCACAGAACACGCCGGTGGCCAACATGGCCGCCGCACATTGTCAAACAAATTATTATGTGCCTGAATACATTTTTCATATATTCGGGCAAATAGTAATTCATTTATTTTACATGTAGTCTAGGTTTTGTGTTCTGTTTTCTATTTTTACTTTTCTAGATATACTTACTTGAAGAAAGGGATCGGCATGACATCCTGACACTTTATTTTTATAGACTTTATTTTTGTTTGACATTTATTGTTTGCCTTCTGTTGTTTTATTTGATACGAATACTTCTATTGTGCCTACAAGTTTAATACCTGAATAAAAGTTTTATTTTTATCACACTTTTTAATATGTTTCATTGTGGCTTAACAAAATAGGAGTCTTTAAATGGTGCGGATATTGGGGGAAATGGGTGTGGCTAATGGGGGTGTGGTCACTGAAGGGTGTGCCCACTGAGGGGTGTGCCCACTGAGGGGTGCTGTAAAGCTATCTCACACAGGGCACCTAAAGGCCTAAGGCCGGCCCTGGCGGTGAGGCTCCGCCCTTTCTTTGGTCAGGTGGAGCGGTGGGCGGGGCTGGGAACTTCTCAGCTCTGTAATGTTCACTAGTCACACTGAAGCCAAGAGACACGTGATCATGCCGGGTACTGACATGTATGAGCTGCGAGTGTTTACTGTATACTGACATGTATGGACGGTGTACTGAGCTGTGGTTGTGCTGCACTGTGTTCATACTGTCCTGGCAGCAGACAGTTAGGTGTGTGTAACTTATATGCTGCCCTGTGTTCTGTCCTATAGACTATATATACACATATATTGAACTGTGTACCCTCTATGTTATCTGCCAAGTGGTCCAAGGACCTTGTTCACCCCTGGGGGGTGGTATTACACATACCCAGAGTGCGAGGGTAAGACCATTGCCCTAAGTGGCTGGAGGTCCGTTGTATGGGCTAGGTAAGTGGACTCTACCTTGACTTTCCCTTTCTTACCTTTTCTCTGCCGCAATCTGGCTGGACTCTTTTTGCTTATGTGTCTTATCTTTTCTTTCCTGTTGGTTTGTGGCTGTATCTCGGCCTGGGTAGTTCTCCTCGGAGATCCATCCTCGTGGAGTGCGGCTCGGCTTGTGCTCCAGCTTGGAGCGCATACTTCCGGGTGCCATGATCGTGTGCGCGGTTAGGTGACCGGGGGGCGTGGTCTCGGTATCCTCCCTTTCTGGGCGGAGCTTGTCGGGCCGTCTTTTTATGATTCTGCTTTGCCGGCAGTCGGCATCAGCTCGGCTGGCTGCAGGTCATGCCGTCTGCTTCTCTGAGACTACTGCTGAGTTTTGTTTTGGGATTGCTCTCATTTTATTTTAAATGTTGTTCCTTTCTCATGATGTCTTCTCTTTTCGATCCTTGCTACAGTTTTCTGCGTGGTATTAGTCAAGGTAGACCTATTATGCAGGCACGAAGTTCTTCGGAGAGGTAGGAGGAGTACTTATTTGGAAAAAAAAGAGGAACATGTTTTTTCCTTTTGGTGTACCTATAAAAAAAAAAAAAAAAGAGCTGGCAAATAGTTTTTTCATTGGGTTTTTGTTGCTTCTTGTTGGGGGTGAGGTCCAGGGATTGGATGTTGTCAGTAGACCTGGCAGATGCGTATTTTCACATACCCACAGCAGTGGAGCGCCAGAGATTCCTCAGGTTCGCCATAGGTCCAGATCATTTCCAATTTCAGTGCCTGCTGTTCGGCCTCTCGTCTGCTCCCCGGACATTTACCAAGGTCTTCGTGGCTTTAGTAGCCTTTTTGAGGTTGAGAAACATACGGGTTCATCATTATCTGGACGATGTCCTGCTCTAAGGCAAGTCAGTACATCAGCTGGTGGCGCACAGAGAGGTGGTTCCACGGGCTCTTCAAGACTTTGGGTGGGTGATACATTTCAAGAAAAGCAGTCTACTTCCCTCCCAGAGGCTGGAGTACCTGGGCATGATTTTCGACACCGTTCAGATGAAGATCTTCCTTCAACGCCGCAAAGTGCGATCTTCCGGTGTGGTGGGAGGGTCGGTGTTCTGTCCTAGCCAAGATTTGCCTGAGCTACATCCGATTGCTCTCATCAACCATTCCGGCTATACCATGGGCCCATTGGCATTTACGGCGTATCCAGTTTTGTTTCTTAGAGCAGTGGGACAGAGTCTCTCTCAGCGGATCTTTTTACCACAACCAGTCAGGCTCAGTCTTCTGTGGTGGCAGGATCCGTTGAATTTGTCCGGAGGCAAGAAGCTCAGTCCGGGAGGATGGATCACTATAACATCAGATGTGAGTCTCCTAGGATGGGGGGCTCATTGGCTCATTGTTCGCATGGGCAGAGAAACATCTGCTGGACTTGACAGTTGACCAAGTCAAGTCTTCCAAGATCCGAACGAGTGGGCTCTGAATCCCCAATACCTGGAGC